AAACCATACATACTACGGCATTATTATCTGATTTCGGAATTTTCAAACGTTCTGAAATACCATTTGATATAGATGAATATTCGTGAGGCTTTGGATACCTAAGCAAAACAAAAATGCTTACGAAAATATCTCATTTTCGGATGAATTCTCACCATAGGCGATAATTTGTGACTAAATCGTTAAAAACTAAATCAGCTAACACTTGTCTGAAATTACAATGATTGGCGAATTTTGATAAATCATTTTTTTCTATTGATATTTTTAATGGAAGGGGTAATTCTGGGACTGAGTAACTTTCACCTAACTTTTTTCCTTCATCAGAAACTAAACTTGCCGTTAAACCTTTTTCTTCGCTTTGTGCTTGCGCATCATCAATGAGATCAGGTATTTTCGTTGGACCAAGTGTTGGTTTGATTTTCAAATGGGACAACGGAAGATCAAATAATAAATCAGCATCATAATGAGATTCCAAATAATCTGTTAATTGTTCAACTTCATCAGATCTCTTTTGTTGTGAATTCGAATTATTGTCTAATGTTGTTGTGGTTTGCTGTTTATTGTCTAATATCGTTGACAAAACTTTTTGTTCAGGTTGTTGATCACTTTTATCGTCCAATTTGTAATTAAATAATTTTTTTCTTTCATTCAAAAATAATGTTTGTTGTTTGAATGTTGGAACTAAACGAGCCACAGCATCATAATTGTCCATCATGTAAAGGGTTTCACCGTCAACTTCTTCACCTATAACGAAAAAAGATGAAATCGGTTTAAAAAACGCTGACACCGTAAATTTTCTGACTCATGGCCTAAAACCTCAGATTTTCACGACGAGTGAAGAGCCCACTAAAGTTTCACCATGTTCTTTTAAAAATATCTTTTTTGCAGGAAACTGCCGTTTCTAAAGTAAAAACGTAGTTACTACCACACAATCAAAACCTCTCAAACTTCATCTGGTTTCTATTAAAAAAAAGAGGACTTCAGATACAGACGGTTTTTTATAGTATACCTCATGCAAGCATAGTGTTTACTTTAATTATTCAGAAACAGTCAATTGAGGAATAAGAGTGACGTAAAAATGTTTGTTAACTTCATATAGATCAAGGCCCTTGTGAAAATAATTCAAATATTTAGGTGATACAATGGCGAATGAGTCGTTTGATGTGAGTTCATAGGAACACAATTGTTTATCATACGATTTTGTTACCAGCTGGTCAACTACTAAAATCCATTCATTGTTTAATTTTAATATATTCATAATTTGAAAAAATACGGGTATTTCCTCGGTATGAACTAGGTCATGCACATAAACTGCCGTTTGTTGATATTTAACATGATTGTGGACCAATGTGGAGCACTGTGGAATGGATATCGATGTTTGAATTTGATTTCCATATTTTTGAAATAACAAATTTTTTATCGCTAAACGTAATTGATAATCTTGAATTAATTTAATATTCGATGGTTCATCGTGAGCTCTCAGAAGCTGATATTTGGATAAAAGTAAACATTGTTTTAACTGGTGACGGTGTGCTAGTGTTTTGGGCATGTTCTTGAAATTATGAGACCTCAGGGCAATTTGCTTGAAATAATTGTGTTTACCTTCGTATCGCATACACCATAGTCGCACAGGTGGACCAAAAGCTTCACTAATTTTATCGTATTCTATTGAAAAATGGATCTTGGGTGTCATTTTGTCTGGTAATAAATTGTCCATCATACATTGGAATTGTAATCCAAGTGCATTCAGATATGGCAGCCAACTTTTTCGGATGGGATTTGCCATAACCATGCCCAAGATTTCCCGTAAAACAGTATAAAGTTCAAATGTTTTTAAATGTGATGTGATATCATGAAATATAATGGGAAATAATTTAAATAATGTGGCAAATTATGAAGGACTAAGATTGATAGAAGTGCTTTTAGGTTACAGAGTAATGAAGGTTGAAGTTTCATAGTATTTTCTCTAATTTTTTATTTCTGAGGTCTAGAAAAATATGTTGTAGAG